CATCTGCACGTGTAAGCATCCCCTCGACCCACGTGTCATTGGTCACGTGGGTATGCTTGTACAGATGCTCCTTCAGCTTGGGCTAATGGGTGGTAACCTAGGCCCGTTTTGCATAGTCCTGTTTGGGCGTTGGGCCTATTCCAACAAGTATGAACTTTGCTACCCCCGTGACCATTGCCCACTGCCATAAACTAAAAGATACGAGCTTGTTGTCATCATGGGTGCCACGAGCTGCAAGAAGTCTTGCCTTTACCTTGACTTGGCTTCTTGAAGGTTGGTCCTAACTTCATTGCCTAGCAGCCTACAAGGCCTGAGCCTTTGGATCAGCCTTCTTCTCAACTGCATGGTGCTCACCAGTTGTTCAATCTAATTTTTAGGTTGTGTAATCACGAGAACAGAAAATAAAACATCACTTCAACAAGTCACACGAAACAAACACAATTAGAAGATTATTACTTGTTCCACCCCTCAACCCCAAAAAATCAACAATGTACCATTTAACATCTCAGTGAGATTAATCAAATAAATCTCAATTAACAGCCAGGTAACTCTCTTACAATGCCCAAGAAATAGACTATATATTCAGACAATCTCATTACAGAGTTTGAGGTTACAATAAAAAATCAAATAAACTTTAACATCAAAACATGAATACATCCTATCTACCAATGCATCTTCAATTAGGACAAGAGCATTAGTTTCTTGATTTTATATTTTTATATCAATTTTCAGCCTCGAAACACAATCAAATAAATCTAAATTCAAATTACATCTTAAAAAAAAAAGAAGAAGAAGAAAATACCAAGATCTCAAACTGAATTAAAATAAACAAACAATAGCTCAATGACTACAAATGAAACAGGAAATAGAATCCATTCTCAAGACCCATTTCCAGTTTTGCAAAATCGAATGACTACAGGAACAACAGTATACATAATGAAGCGAAAGAGAATTTCAGTTGCATCCATTACAATAAAAAGGGATCAACTACAAATTGGTATTACACAAAGGGAACAATGAGCTGGTCGAATCCATACCTTTTGAGGCCATTAGTTTGCTTCGCTGATAAATCCTTACCTAACAGAACACAACAAATGCAAAATGTCAATTATGGTGGAAAAAGGTATTTCTCGAAATGAAACTACGAGCTGCAATAAGTTTATGGAAATCTTGATATCATCACCAATAAACTACCTCTTCATAAATGACTCGATCGTTGGAGATTCATCACAGAGAAACTATCTGATTGCAGAGGAAGATGTAAAAAATGAGCAAAGAATTTGAAATTCATTGTCAAATTCATGTGCATGAGAGGTATTAATATATGTTATTTAATCTTTTGAAATACATAGGTTAAAACATATGTATTTAGATTAAAATTTAAATACATTCATATTTTGTAAAAATAAATAATATAGTTGATTTTATAATCACAAATTCGAATACATTCTAAATTTAAATAGAAAAAATATTTTCACATTTTTTTTATTAAATTCAGTATTTTATATTCTCAATTACACTAAATTACAAAAAAATCATTTATTAGATAAAGCACTTCGCTATTAT